CGTGGCGGTGTGTGACGTATCTCCGGTCTGATTTACGAGATGTCCTGAAGGTGTTCCTGAAAAATGAGATCCGTGATGCTGTCACCTACACTAAACACGCCAAGCGTAAGCGGCCATGGATGTCATCTACGTTTTTGAAGTGACAGAGACGCACTCTGTTTGGTTTCGGAGGTTAAATCATCACCAACATTGGAAACAAAACGGCTCTTTTCAGGGCCACCAAGCTTATTACAGAAAAGAGTAGGAATAGAATTCATCTGCCTGTTTGTCCATATTCAGAACCAACGACCACACAAAATGCTCATGTAATCAAATTATTTTGATCAACCTTGATCAACTTTGAATCGCCACGGCCGGATATTTTCGATGGAAGAAGCAACAATCTAGCATCTAATTCGACGAAGACGTCAGGAAACATTTCTGGATCAACAATAGAATAGGGCCCATCAGCATTTGTAAACAAACCGTTCCAAAGCCTCACAAATCGAAGGCCGCTCACACAAACCAACACCAACATCTTGTAGGTAGAAGTTTCCCCTATCCTGATGATGGTGTTGGTTTGTGTGGGTGGCCTTCGCTTTGTGAGTAAAGGGCTTTGGAATGGTTTGTTTACAAATGCTGATGGGCTTTTTTCTATTGTTGATCCAGATTTGTGAAGCCGAGTTATTTACGAAAGAGAGTGTCGATGAAGAGAATCGATCAATGTAGATAGGACCTATTGAAAAGTGACGCGAGATTTGTTTTCCTTACTGAGCTCCAATGCTACCGACGCCAGGGAGGCAGCTCCCAGAGATGTTATGCCTTAGAACATGCCGATGGCGCCGACTGAGATTGGACCCAGGCCTGCTTAGGTGAGAGGTAATCACGCTAACCACAGACGCCGATATCTATCACGGCGAATGAGAACGACCCAAATTTGAGTTTAGTTATCTCAGAAATAAGAAATAAAGTGCAGGAACTCAGCGATGAGTAAATTTGCCTCATGTTTTCCCAGGTTTTTCCAGGATTTTCCAGGGAAAAATTCCCGAATTTGAGGAAAGTAAAGATTGGATTCACTCAGTCTATTGGCACTACTCCGAGACTGAATAAAGTTTTCGTCAATCTCCTCATTTTTTGGCAGATTTTTTAGGTTTTCCACACGAAGTCATGAGACAAATTTACTCATCACTGAGTGCCTACACTTTTGGCGATTATGAGTGAACTAAACTCAAATTTGGGTCGTTCTCATTCGCCGTGTACGCAAAACGAAAATAACCAGTGTCGCTACTTGATAGCAAACTACTCATAATGGGAGGAGTCTTTGTAGCTTTTATACCACTTGGTTGCACATCATTCTGCTTTAACCTGAAAAGATATAAAAGAGCGCTGCTGTATGGCATTCGCTCATTTTCGCTTCGGACGGCGTGGTCAGCAATAGCAGCAGTAGGTCGTGGCTGGTCGTGGCAAAGGAGGTGCCAATCGTCATCGCAAATTCTTCGAGGTAACCACCATCCGTCGTCTGGCTCGCCATGGCAGTGTCTGACGTATCTCCGGTCTGATCTACGAGGTGTGCTGAAGGTGTTCGTGAAAAATTAGGTCCGTGATGCTGTCACCTACTCTAAACACGCCAACCGTAAGTGGCCATGGATGTCCTCTTCAATAAAAACGGCCCTTTTCAGGGCCATCAAGCTTACATCAGTAAAGAGTTGGAATAGAATTTATCTGTGCTTGTTTGTCCATATTCAGAACCACAAGCCCCCAACGACCACACAAACTTGGAAGCAGGGGTGCAAGTGATTTTGATTGATTCTCGTAATCAACATTCTTTTTGAAAAAGATTACTACAAATTTGGATCGCCTACAATTCAAAAACGGAAAGAGTTGAGATAATAGATATTAAATATATATAAATTTTGATCAATTAAAAGAACTTAATGCTCTTCACATTTATTCCGTCCACTAGTGGTCCTACGTCAAGCTTCCGTTCGTGCCCCTAGGCACAGACCCTTCTACTTTTTCGGTAAGATATTGCTCTCTATAAATCTTTTGTTTTATTGGATTGCTGATTTTACCTATTTTGAAAACTTTTTTTTTCGGTTTGGAGCTAAGAAGTCATCGACTGTTGATCTTGATATCAGCAAAATCACAAACAGAAAATCACGGCGGATTTTATCTTAGCTGATCTTGAGAGTAGCAAAATCACACAGCAGAAAATCAAGGCTGATTTTAACCTTAGCTGATTTTGCGGTCACAAAAACCAAACGGAAAAGCAATAGATTGGAATTACAGTCAAAGTAAAAATCCGACATCCACCACCATTTTGGAATTCAAGATGGTGGATCAAAATCCAATTTGGTGGCCCCCGGACTAGGAATATGCATTTAAACCCATGCAATATGGGTATCTACGGAATGATCTCGATGAGGGGAAGTGGAATATTGACATCCACCGCCATTTTGGAATACAATATGGCGAAACAAAATCCAATATGTTGGCACCGGACAAGAAATATGCATCTAAACCCATGCAATATGGGTTTCTGCAGAATGGGCTCTTGATTTTCAAAATGGCAGCGGATTCCAATTTTCCACTTCCACTCATCGATCCCATTCCGGAGATATACATATTGCATGGGTTTAGATGCATATTCCCTGTCCGGCGGTCGCCATATTGGATTTTGGTCAGCCATCTTGAATTCCAAAATGGCGGCGGATGCCTATTTTTCACTTCCCAGCATCGAGTCCATTCCGTAGATACCCATATTGCATGTGTTTAGATGCATATTCTCTGTCCGGGGGCCGCCATATTGGATTTTGGTCCGCCATCTTGGATTTCAAAATTGCAGCGGATTTCAATTTTTCACTTCCCCTCATCGATCCCATTCCGGAGATATCCATATTGCATGGGTTTAGATGCATATTCCTTGTCCGGGTCCGGGTTAGCCATCTTGGATTTGTGGGAGCCATCTAGGGTTGAAATCCACCGTTTTAATTTCATCCGGAATGTTGACTTGAGTTTCGGAATTGTCCAAACTCTAGAATTTCACATATCTTCTAATCCTATGATTTTCGATGATTTTGATCTTGGTTGATATTGATGCTGGTTGATTTTGAGAATCGAAAATCACGTGTGATTTTCGTGGTGATGATAGCTTGTGATTGATCTTGAAAGATAGCTGATTTTGATTTTCTGATCTTGATTTTAGCCAACACTGCCCACAACCACAGCACTGCCAAGCAGGATTACCTCGTGTAGGGTCCAAACAAGGATCGAAAGAAAAGTGCTGTTTAAATTTGTTGTAGCTTTAGGTAGCAGTAACACTTCTTCCAGCAAAATGCAAATAAATTTGCACGGCAAGACAGCACGATGTGGACTGAGGGTATTTGATTATTCCTTGATTGTTTTGATAATATTAATTTGATCAATTCTCGTTTCCCACTAAAGAAGCTTATTATTGGTTGAGCTCCCCTATGTATCTATTCGTACCGAAACGCTACCAGAGTTCATTTCTGCTGAGCCAACTTTCTCCCTTCTTTTCCACACTCACGCACTACAGACTCTCTCGACTAAAGTCTCTCGCTCTCACTCTCCCGAAGTGTTCATTTTTTATGTTTTCCTCCATCTCGCTCCACGGCCGACCGATAGACGACGCTCTCTCCTCCGTACATTATTGGGGCAGGCCCGTCCGCCGCCGTCGTCGTCATCATCACGCTGCTGCCAAACCACCCACCACTCCCCCCCAAAGCCACCCATCCGTCGTCGACCGAGCTTCTTTTGGTTGCTTCGCACATTGGGGTTTCGCGTTGGATGGCAGAGGTAGAGGTAATCGTTCGCCACCAGACGATGGTGGGTTTCAGTTTAGTTTTTGTTTCGGTTCGCGCATCATGTGGAAAAGCGCTCCTGAAGCCGCGGTCCGCGCCCCGAAATACTAGCAGAAGCGAACATTAGCAGAAGCAAATTCAGGACGGTGGATTTCGCGCGAGGGTGAAACCATCCAGCAGCTGAAGGGAAGATCCGCGCCGCGCGACGAACTTTTGTCCTTTTTTGGTTGGTGAGAGTGAGAGATCGTGGGAGAAGGATTTATCATCCTCACCGGGAGGTCCTCACGCACTGACGGGTGTTTTGTGTTTCGAGCGGATAGAACGAGACCAGCTGCGTCGTTGAAAGGATACGGATCGGCTCGGTCGGTGTCGATGGGACTGACTGGCTCTCTATAGCTGGAGGAAGTGCTTCTGGGACTGGCCTATCCGGATACAGCAGGACACACAGGAATTAAGGTGGCAATTATTTGTTGTTTCGAAATACCTCATTGCTGAAGGAAGAAGACCACGGTTAAGGCAGAAGAAGCATTCAAGGATTACGGTGATTCAGAAGAAGCAAAAACCCAAACTGTGATAAAGTGAAACTCAAGAAAATTCGAAACAGGAAACTTCGGATACAGTGGAGAAATCATTCCCAAATGATCGATTTTTTCTCGGTAAGGGCAACACACAAATCAAAAGTTTGATGAAACAACCGGAAACCTCATAGTACAAAAGCAGATGAATTTATTTAACTAGGTGTAAAAGAAAAGCGCAATTTTCGGAAAAATAAAGTTTCGTGTTTGAAGAAAAGTGAAAAATATACTAATAATAAAAAAAATACTCAAAGCAGGGAAGAGCTTATCCCATTAAGGCAAGTGCAAAAGAGAGAGAGTGAAAGGCATTAGTGACACCATTTTCCAGAAAATTGAAACTAACCACACGAGACACCCCAAGCAGGCGGGTTTCCAATTTCCCAATTGGTTTGCAAAGAAGAAAGATTTCGAAAAAAATAATTAAGTACAAACCCAAGTTGTGTGGAAAAGGAGTACGGAAAGGCGAAAATCTTAGTGAGTCTGTGTTGGTGTTCGAGATTGGTTGGATTTGCAACACTCCGAGCTGGTTGTTGTGGTTCCATTTTTCGTAATCCTCCCCCTCGAAGATAGAGAGTGCGTGTGTAAGAGAGCGAGAGAGAGAGAGAGAGCAAGTGAGAGACGCACGCCAAGTCTCCGAAGGGCTCCTAACCACGCGCGCCCTGCCGTACCCAACCCGGCCACGTGGTCTCCAACTGGGCGGGATACCATCCTAAACCCAAACCGAACTCAGTGAGTGTAGAAAACGTTGAATCCGTCGCTGGCTGCTACTGGAAGTCCCGGCTAACCTAAAGGTGCGTTAATCACAATATGATCAAAACGATAAGATTTTTGTATGTGTGTGTGTGTGTGTGAATTTCCTAGAGTTTAAGTTCGTGAAAATCCCCACCGGTCAAACCATCCTGGATATCGATTGAGCCTACGGTGGATGACAGACCACAGTCGCCGTCTCTTTCGCGCCTTCACACGGTCAGGTCTGTTTTGGTGGTGAATCCTGGCTGGAACCGGAATAGAACACCCACCCGGTCGCTTCTTCGCCGTCTCTTTGGCGTCGTCGTCGTCGTTGTCGTCATCTTCGTCGCAGTCGTGCTCCACTTTTCGCTGATGACACAGAACAAACGTCAAAAGCGCGCGTCTGGCTGTCAGTGGCGAGAATTTTCACGCCCGGTTTCGGAGAACTCGAGGAAAATTGTCCTCCAGTCACCCGTCTTAGGTAGCCTTCGTGTGAGTGAAAGTGAAGTAATCCTTTTTTTTTTGTTCGCATGGTACGTGACAGGAACTATCGACCCAGTTCTGTTCGGCGAGATGCGGTGGTGGAGTGTTCAAGGGTACGACCCAGTCCGGGAATCTGTTGGCCAAAGACAGGTGTGTGTGTGCATAATGTGGAAGAACGGTAGGGAAGGCTAAACAATCAATGAATGGAACTGGCCGGGTTGAGTTCTGGGGAGGACGTTTGTGCTGTTTGGGTTGGGATTCGATTGTCCAGAAGGTGGTGCAAATCAAAGACATCGGTGTGTTGTTATGCTACTACGACGACCACCACCACCGTCTCCAGTCACCGCGCGTCGCATTAAAACCCGTTTTGGGTGGAAAGCTAGACACATGATTTAACATCATTGATCCCAATCAGAGTTTCATGCCGACAAGGTCAACTATATTCTCGAACAAGAGTGCGTTTAATGTTGAAATCTAAATTCTAATTGGAAAATGGGAATACGAGCTCAACTGTTTCTTACTTCAAAAATTAATGCTAAACCTAATAGTTGAAGAAGTTTACAAAATATTCAAACTGTAAAATGTTTTCATGCATGTATGAGAATACGAGAATGGCTTTTGGATCTATAGATCGACCCCACTGATAACAATAACTCCTAATCTACTTATTCTAGAGTATAGAGCTTTTATAATAAAGATCAAAAGGCTCAATAATGACTTGAACAATATCCTGAGAATCGTTTGAGTCCGTGTACCGGCGCCGATGGTGTAGTGGTAAGCGTGATTGCATTCTCACCCCAATGGGTCTGGGTTCAATCTCAGCCGAGGTCGGTGGGATTTTTATGAGGCATAAAAATCTCTGGTCACGTCTTCCTTCGGAAGGGAAGTGTAAATCCGTTGGTTCCGGGCCATGTGTGTTTGAATGAATGGGTGCGATTTCCTACGCAGGTGTGGAAGCTGCCTTCCTTGCACATTCGATTGCCGTTAATGGGTGACAATCGATGTCCGTCGGTGATTGGCACTAGATTGCGGAACAGAGACCGACGTTAAATAAAGAAAATAAGAAGGAGTTTGAGTCCGTGAAGTTTGACAACATGCAAATCATGAAATGGTATCAATAAGATGTTGAATGCTCTCCAAACTGTTCTGGAGCTAAAATCCAGAATTTCAACAGGCCCAATGACGTCTTGAGCAATGCTCTGAAAATCTTTGCGTCCGTGAAGCTTAAGAGAGCCTTCGGGCAGATATGTAGTGCCTTTCAAACTATGCTAATATGAAGTTCTACAGTCTGAATGACGTCTTGAAAATTTGTATGTGGCCGTGAAATTCAAATGAGCTTCTATATAACATGCATGCACCATAGGATGGGTAAAGTTTGTGTGGTGGACCACAACCACCTACATCCCACTGCTCTTTTGATTTGCATCAAGGTCCCCAACGATTGAGCCAAAATTAACGAATATGGCTAAGATCTAGATTTGCGCGAGAACTTTGAAGTTTGTTCGGTAACATGTATGGGAAACTGAACAAAACTATTAATTTGCTTGTCAAAACTTCAAAACTCAGCTTGAAAAGGCACTGCAGAACAACATTACCGATTACTGAAAATCTGACTGATTCGACGCGCAATAAAGACTGGAACGCGCAAAAATTGGTCGACAAAAAAATCGTTTCTGTCAGTCAAAATTCATATCACAAAAATCTTCTTATTTTTATTTTAGTTGTTCAATTCACGTATTTAAAGGAAATTTTTTTCGTTTATTCTTTTGGTTTGCCAAATCCGAACTGCCGTGTCTTCCGCTTAACCCCTTACATTAAATTTTGCACAGTGGTCTCATCGACCTTATTCGCCGCCGAACGCCAGTTAGATTTAAACTGCTGCTCGTTTTCCATGGATTTAATTAGTTTTTTTTAGATTCCGTTTGACCAAGGCCCAATACCGTTCGATAGGGCGGAGTTCTGGGCTGTTGGGAGGGTTGTGACCTTTGGGTACCACAACCACGTTGTCCGCATCGTACGTTTCGATTGCCTTTTTCCTATAGTGGCAGCTCGCCAAGAACAGCACAGGTCTATTATGTTGCTTTAGGAATGGTAGAAGCCGCTTTTCCAGGCACTCCTGGACGTAGATCTCTTGATTGATGGTTCCCGTAGTAATAAAAATGCCGCTTTTTAGACCACACTTACATATGGCCTGCCAGACGAGATATTTTTCCGGGAACTTCGATAGTTTGATGGTTTTGAAAAAAATTAGCCACCTTCCCTTTTCCTGATGCGGTATAAAAATCCTGTTCCAGAAGCTGCTTGAAATCCGCCTTCACTTTATAAGTCGAAATCCGTCGAACTTTATGAGCAGATTCGTATACAGCTTTCGGGACCGCTGCTTTGCCGACGTGTTTTGTTTGTAATCTCGGTCCGCCACCATCACCTTCTTAAACGTCGACAACCCGGCTCGTTTCTTGGCCCGCTGCACAGTAATATGGGAGACATTGAGCTTTTCAGCGACGTCCCGGATGGAGAGGTTAGGATTCCGCTTATATTTCACCGCCACCTTCTTCGTCGTCGCTGCCACGTCCGGATTACGATTGCTGCCGCTTTCAGGCTTCCTGGTGGTCGACAGACGCTCCCCGAACACTTTTAAAATGTTTGTCACCGTCGATTTGGCCATATCCAGCAATTTTGCCAACTTGGCGTGTGAGAACGTCGGATTCTCATGCTGCGCGAGCAACATTTTGACACGCTGCTCCTCTTGCTTGGACGTCATTGTGAAAACTCATCATAGCAACCATTGTATATGCACTTAACTTCCAAATGCAGCATTTCAGGTTTTTTTTAAAGAATTTTTAACAGAAATACACCAATTTGAGGTTGACCAATTTTTGCGCGACCAGACTTTAAGTGGAACACTTAGTCAACAGTAAAAGCTTTATAACTTTTTGCATTGATGTCAAATCAGTTGCCGATCATCGGCAAAGTTCCAATCCTTTCAAGATTTTCCCATTTTCCCATACAAACTTTAAAGTTTTCCCGCACATCCAGATCCCAACTAAATCCATTCAAATTTTGCACAGTTGTTGGGGACATCAATACAGATCGAAAGAGCAGTGGAGAGTGAGGATTTGTTAAGTTGACTCACCCTAATGAACAACACGAAATGGAATCAATAAGATAGTTTATGCTCTCCAAACTATTTTGAAGCAAAGATCTAGAAGTTTTTCATGCTCAATAAAGTCTTGAAAAATGTTCTGTAAAGCATTATGAGTTCGTGACGGTATTTGATGCTAAAGGGTGTTCGAATTAGGTTTGAGTGTTTCAAATTGCATCACGGAAAAAAACGCTGTAGAAAATTACCTAGTTGACCGATCCTTTTCAAACTTTCAGACAATTATAGATCACTCATTGGTAACCTTTTGGCATATTTATTTCAATCAACTTCAACACTATAACCGTACGATCGCCCCTTACGCTTATTGGTTCTGTACAACATCTGGCTGCAGCTTCTTCTGTGCGGAAACCCACTTTTCTTTATGTCTTTCTCAGATTTGACCTCCTTGGGATGCTTCCGTAGTGCCTGTTTCATAATAAAGCCCGATTCAAAGTTAATTTGAACGCATTCAAGTGATCATAACTGAAGAATAGAGTTCTCCAGATGCACAAAAGTGTGCGTGAGACCGCGCGCTACCTTTTTAAGTAGTTGTGATATCGCGATACCTTTTTGTTTCTTCTTCTTCTTCGTTTTTACGTATGGATGTTGGATTTTAGTGTCCGTGAGATTGCGCTTGGAGATCTCTATTAAACAACATACACGGTTGATCAAAACGTCAAACAAAAGGGTATTTATTGAGCTTTCAAACGATATATAACAAGTTATTACATTTCACCGTTTCAAACGAAATGCCGCACTTTACTTGTGATCGATGCCATCATGATCTGCACATTCGCTGGTGACGCTGTACCGGCGAACTTATTCCACTTTAAACGCATTTGTTGTGAATTTGTCACTTACTGGCACAAAAAGACTTATATCCTTCTATTGAAAGGATGTTACGCACGGTGGATCGGTTGGAATCGTATTTCTTTGCCAAATCACGTATGGAGACACCCGGGTTGCTTTTCACGTACCTCAACACCTTTCTCCTCAGCTCTTTGTCCCTAGTGCCACTTTTATGATAGATGCGCTGTGCTCTATCCACACTTCAGAGTATCCTTGTAACGTTTGATTACAAGACTCACCGTTGACTTTGGGAATTTTAACACTTTTGATATTTTTGAGGCAGACCACGAAGGGTTCTCTAGATGTTGGTGCACAATTAATTTTCTTTTCTCAAGTTCCATAATCCGTAAGAAAAACTTTTCACCAATTTCTTCGTCAATGAAACATCAACAAATGCCTGTCAAACGTTTTTTGTTCCAACCACCAGGGGCGCGGTGGTGTATTAAACCGTGCGTCCAGATTTACTTTGGATCGAGCTTTAGCCCAGTGTTTTTCGATGGTACGTTCCGGTACGTTGGGGAGGGGGGGGGGGGTTTGGGGTGCTCATGCCTTTGGGTACGAAAATGACCCCGTTGGCTTCGTACCACT